GACCTACACTGTTTTTTTGGCCAAGTGAATGTGCAATTCTAATGTGCAATAACTAATAGCAGAGGCACCTCAAATGTTGCTGCAACGGGTCTTTGTCATAATATAATATTTTTGTCATAGGAGTAATATGGGTATATGGTGTAATTTGTGTCACTTATTTTTTTTTGTGAATGGCCATTAAACAACTCACTACAAAAAAAAACTCAAACTATGTTATTTAGGCAAAAACATACATCATTTAGACCTGCACACAGAACTAAAAAAAAAAAAGGTTACTATATTTTTAACATTCTGTATTAATCCACATTTATATAGGAGTCAGAAAAATTAACAATCAGATTTTTTTTTAAATCACAATATCTTGTAAAACAAAAGATACACAAAATGGCACATACAAATTAAATTAGGTTGACATTTTGTATTAAAAACTTGATTCTCTGAACTCACTTGACCTGTTTTGGGCTCAAAATGAGCCTGGGTCGCTGCTGGGCTAACCTTTCATGACATCACATGACATGGACAGGCCTTTACATCAATCAACAAAATTAGGAGGTCAAAGCATCACGTTAATGACTTCATGACCTTTCTGCATGTGACCTCTAACGTACATTAGACAGAACAAAACTACCCGAAGTGACACTTTCCTTAAGGTACAGAAGATTAGCGATGGAATCGTGCCCAATGCAAAAAAACGTAACCAAAACAACTTTAAGAACAGAGACTGAAAAAAATGAGGGAAAAAATACGGCGCTATTATAAGAACTGAGGTGCACACGCTGACAAAAAGGCCGACTGCTGACCCAAGATCCCTCTTAAAAATGATTAGCTTTCGCTCTCTTTGCAATAAAACATTGAAGTTTATTTTCCACTAACCCCTAACACAATTAATACAACAAATAATCGCATTTTACCATTACACAACCAGGCCTTAAATTATCTGACAATGCAAACTGGTTATGTAATTTCAATTTATAGGCCCGCTCGTATAAAAGTATGAATACGTGTCCATAACACTTACGTAGTGTGATAACAAGGGTTTCAAATTGCTAAGGGGAAATGTAACGTTAACTGAGTTAAGTTGCAATAGGGTGGTACAGTAACGTTAGATCAAACACATTGTGACGTGTTTTTTTTCGATCGAGATGACTACAAACTGATCAAATCACTTTAATCTCTTCTCCAACTACTATTTACTTCTGTGAGAGTTTGCGCTTTTTACACTTTAGATGGCAAATGTTTGCTATTTTAATACATTTAACATAACACTTACACTCACAACACATAAATAGCCATTTTCATGGTAACTAAACAAAGACGTTTTTTATGAAAAATGTTACTTACCGAAAACACCTGACCGTTCATAATATTTGTAAATCCACAAAAAAAAAGTTTGCAATTGAAAACTGTGACGGCGCACTGTTTTTATAGTTTGTGTAAAAAAAAACGAGAGAGAAAAAGGCACTCTGGTCATCGTCGCTTTTTTTCCGCTGAAAGAGGAACAAAAACTGTAGTAAAGAATAGGACAGTGTTAGTCGGTGTGGCATCCCGGTGTATCGCTCGCTGATAGGCTGTCGGGCTCGCCGGCCGTCTCGCTCACATCACCAATCCCGCTCAAACTTAACGTTTAAAAAATGCACAAAACCACCTCGCTCTACCAAACAACCCACGTCATTCTATTCGTCGTCACCTGCGATAATTTTCCGAAATTTTTATTGATTTTTCAAACCATCCACGTAATTGCTGGATTTTTTCGAAAAATAATACAAAATATATAGTTTCCACAGCGCGGCTCCAATCTGACGCCCCTTCTTGGCTGGAGATGCTAGCCGGATTAGCCTGCTAGCTCACTTCAGACTCCACTTCACTATTTGTTGTCACTACACATCGTCTTTTGTGTCCGCTGCATCCATCCACCGGGAAACAGCCGCCTAAAATGTGTGGCAGATTTCAGAAAAAAAATATCTCTCTTTGTTTCTGGATACAAAAAAGAAAAAAATATCCCTCGCTCAAATTACTGGACTTCAGTACGGAGCCTCTCCAGGCAGTTGCTGTTGATGTAGCTGCTCACTCGAAAATGGCGCCGAAAGCTCCAGTCTTCATTCAAATTGGCCGGAGCCTCCCCCTGCCCGCATTGGGCATGCCGGGACCTAGAGCACCGCGCAGGATTGGTCGAGACAAAATGCACCCTCAAACCGGCTAGCAACCCAAAACCCACGCACACTATCCTTACGCGCGGCCAACAGAACGCGGTTTAACTGTAGCTCTGCCAGTCTGTGTTTGAAAAAGCGATTGTTACCAGTGCAATCGCCTTCACACCATTGATACGGTAGTTTTAGGCGTACGTATAGGTTATATGCAATATAGCTTAGGGATTTCAATTGCTTCCTAAATCAGATAGCTTTCAACGCTGTCAAGGATAAATTCACCATAAAACGTGATTTAACCCTAAAATGAACATGAAATGAATCGTATGCTGAAGTATAAGTTTTCTAGTTAGTATGGTGAGCGTTTTACCAAGCGAACAATCTTTATTATTTTTCATCATTCGTGATATTAAGGGGGAATAAAACGCTATTGCGGTTAAAAATTCTTCTTTATGGCCAGTTTTGAAGGTAGCCTACGTGTAATGTTTTATAAGTAGATCAATGCATGCATTAAATGACCGGAACGTCGTGAAGACGAAGCAAACGACAACACTGCCTGCAAGTAGCTTGACAACAGACCCTGCGCTGCTTTACTACAGCAGACAGCAGCAGCGAGAGAGCAACTGCGAGCTGCGTCACTCACACACCACCAGCAGCGTGATGGTTGATTGGGAGAAGAAAGAAACTACGCTCCATCTGTCAAATCCGCCCCTTTCTGATGACTGCCGACTGCATCATTCGGATAATGACTTAAAATTTGGCACCGTTTTGTGACTATTTGACCAGCAGCAAACCCGATGATTCATTTAGGTATATCTGGTGGCTATGTGACTAAATTGCTTTCTAAACCTCAGCCTTATTTTCCAGGCATTAACTGCAACTGTAAACCTAGACAAAATATATTTACCACATAGTACTTTTTCTAGACTATGTCAAAGAAAACATCATGGCTTTATTCCACAGCCATAACCTGCCTACCCTTTTAGCTGTATCGGGTGGCATCATTGCATCATGCATATTCTTTAATTTTAGACACACCCACATAAACTCACATGCCACAGCTGACATAAACAAGCATGAAATAGGCTATGTGCCAGTGAGTGTTCCTACATGTGTGAGAAAGTGTAAGGTGTTATAAATGGATGTAGACAGTGGGGACAGGAAGTGACTCCTCGTTTTATTTAAAGATACACAGTAAAAGACAGGAAGTGTGTCAGCAGTAAAAGAAATACCATAAACTGTTCTATACTTATCCACCATAGATGACTAGGCCGAACGCTACAACTCTGATCTGTGCTATAAGGTTTATGTGAAACCTTATGGTTGTCTTTTTAAAGTAAAAACCTTTATGGACCATGTTATGCTCTTTGCGTCTCTTGTAGGCTAAATGTAACTTTATTTGAACATTTCTGCATCTCGAATTTTATAGATACACCTTGAATGGCCATTATTATTGTTATGGTCTATTTACTATTTGCCCATACAACAAATCCCTTGGGTTCATTTTCTTTATTTTTTTTGCACACACAACTTTAGACCATTTGTGTTATTTCCACCCACTTTGAACTGTAACAAAACCTCTGCATATAAGTTGATGCATGTCATAACCTGGTCATAACCTATTTTCCTCCCACCATCATAGGCTACTAAATATCTGAACATCACCACCACCCACCTTCTCCTTTCTTTTCATTTAATCCACCAGACTAATGAAATTATACTTACTTAGTAGCCCACTTTAGGCTAGCCTATTTAATAAAATCATATTAACCTTTATCCTTCCACAACTGTCAGAGTAACCAACATTTATTAACCACAGCAGATCATTCATTAACCTTTCAGTTTCATTGTAAAAAAAAAAGAAGTCTATTGATCTTATGCTTTTAAAATGCTGAAAGAATATGCTTCGTGTTTTGATTCGTGACAGTTTTTGATATATATATATATATAGGCCTACAGTATATATATTTTATATCAGCGGTAAAACTAATAACAAATTGCACTGCAGAGCAGGCAAGTCCAGACAAGAGCGTCAATCCTTACGGATGTCCCGCCCCTCAAAGGCAGTCCTCCGATGATGTAACTCTTTCCAAATATAGCGTGTTGCCGAAGCAACCGTGCCACGCCATTGGTGCAGCGCTCTGTCAGTATTGCAACGTCATGAAGCTAGTGTTATTATTGTAAACAGGGTGCTTACTTTTCACGGGCTCTCGGGTCCCGAGCCTTTGCTACGCGCTTCTTTGTTCACTACACGAGAAGATCAGCACGACAATAGATTACTTACGAAAAGACGTTGTAAACGTTATGTGCCCCCTGTAATCTTGCCTAATGAACAAAACAAATAAAAACTGAGTAGTTAATATGGTTCTCTCAATCAAACCTGTAAGACACTTTAAAATGACACGACGTATCTTCGAACACAGCCGGTAACTTGTGCGTAGCTATACGAAAATGTTGCTGAAGTTTTGACAGGCATCGCGTTTTTTTTTTTGTTTTTTTTTTTTTAGAATTAAACTAACGTTGTTCAGTTTGCAGTGCTCTTAATTCACGTAAAGGTAGAATTGAACAACTTTTTAGAACATCCACATCATGATGTAAAAGCAACAATCCGGTTGAGTCAAAAACTTTTCGACGCCGATAGCTTGTTGTCGAATGTTGCCACTCCTGCGCACAAAGAGCTTGTGTCATTGTTTCAACAAAAACACATTTCAATTTCCCATTTTAGTCGTGCTATGCCACTGAAATTCTACCTCACAAAATGCTCAGAATTCTTATCAAAAGAGCCTAGTTTCGCCAATTCCCAATGCGACGATACTGATCAGAAGCTACATCAAAGTCGATATGAATGGCACTTACCCTGGGGAAAATGAGCATGTGTATGAAGACATCACTTGACTCTAGTGGGATGTTAAAAAAGTATATAGCCTAGCACGTTATCGGGTTAATTTCAGTTCGCACAACAGTTTCACCTTATTTACTAGTAACGTTTCACAAGGTATCGAGGAAGTTCTTTTGTTCCAGTATTTATGCACAGCGTCAAAGTTGCGCGTTGAGGAGGCGGAGCGGTATAGCGCTGCGCGAGAGGAAGAAAAAAAGACCAAGCGCCAGCACTCGACCGTAGATACTCAAGACTCAAACCCTACGACCCACACTGAGATTAGGTCACGTGCTGGCTGAGTGGTGACCGAGTTGGGTGTCATATCTGCAAACTATCCAGATCTCGATGATGACATGATGAGACCGGTGTTCCTCAGCATAGCGCGAACGAGGCTTTACCTTTTGCTGCGAGAGATGCCAAGTGTCGATCCGCTCACGTGCACGTTCACTGACAACTCTTGTTGCTAAGTCTCCTTTTTTATATTTTTTTTTATACATTTTTTGAATTCATGTTAGAGGTAAGAAACTTCCATCACGAAGAGATTTGAGATTGAGATTGACTCGAACTGATACGATAACAAAAACAACACCAACAAAAATCAAAGTAGCCTAGCCATTTTGGTGTAGGCTATTTTATTTCAGCCTAATAAAGACAAACATTGTTTAATTTCAAAGTGTGAGGTGTTTTTTTTTTCTTTCTTTCTTTCTTTTTTTTCTTTTTTTTTTTTTTGCAGTAGGCTATACCTGCATAAGAGAATTTGGGGATGTATTTGTGTTTCATGGTTAAACAAAGTATAAAGAGAGAACACTGTTATTTGAAACAGCTGCATTCTGCTATTGGCTGCTCTGTATAACTGCATTGTAGCATCTAAAGCCTGTCAAATATCATCTGAGCCCCACTTGGATGCGTGGGACAAACATTCAACAGAAAACAAAACCGCTTAAGCGCATGTGTTTTCTTTTTTTAACTATTTTATTTTACACCTATAATGGTAGGCTATAAAAAGTTTAACATAGTTCATATTAGCATGTTTTTCCAGAGGGGGATAAGCACTTTTCGCCAAAGTATTTTTGTTTTGTGTCAAAATGCACTTATTAAAACACAACTTTATGGTTAAAGACACTGACTTTAAGGTTAAAGTAATCCAGCTGCTGTAAACTAACATGGGATTCGTAATTCGTACAACTAATTCATGCAAAATATTGCTTACAATGTGAATATTTTATTTGAATAGTTTTATTTTGGATGGCACGTGGCGTTTAGGAAGTTAATTTGAAAGTGGGGCTATTTATAACAAGGAAAAACACACGGCCTGTTGACACAGCTGAGGTGAGGTTTTCAGCATTTTCCAATTCCTCTCACTCTCAACGAGCAAATAGCCATACAGGCGGAAGATCATCACGTGGCTAAAGTGATTTTAGGATTTAGTAAAATATATAGCTAGGCTAAACAGGTAACCGTGAAAATTGCACGTAATCTAATCACCTAAACAATTCAGGCTAATGGATTTATATGCCGTTCATCAGTGAAATCATTCAGATATTCCCTGATTTCGTTATTATCGTTCTTTTATTGATGAATCAAAACGTCTTGACCACTTCCAAACACAACCAATCAATCTGCCGGTATTTTACAACGACTCGAGACGTAACGTAATGAAAGTAAACATGAAAAATTGCACAAAAAAGTTTTAAAGCAATAAAATAGTCTCTCTACTAAAGAAAAGCATATTTCTCGGATTTCAACAACACAAACGAACAAATGAAAATGTAGAACAACGAATTAATTAATTCGACTAATTAATTTAGCCTATCAACCAAAGCATGTAGGACTGGCTAACGAATTTGTTCGTGTTCTTCATTCAGGCTACTAGCTACTATAGTTTAAAAATATGAAAATTAAAAATTTTCACAAACAATTTTCATGTATGAAAATGCATAAATCCATCACCACATCCATTTTGTAAAGCTGCTTATTTAAAAACGCGGATTAAGTGGTTTAAATAGGCCTATAGGCTACATTTTGTAAAATAGCACACAGTTTATAGCCAGCGTTGTTACTTTATGTCATTACACAATAGCCTTATAGGTTAAGATTATATTAACAAAATTAATTTGATTTTATTATCACGGAAGCCTCAGACTTTTTCATTAGGCGTGATATATCAGCTACCTTCACGATTACATTTTACACTGAAACTAAAACAAGCATTATAATAGCATTTTTTACGACCAATTAGTGAAAACTTAGATGTTATCTGATAGATTGGGCTCTCTTTGACTCATCAAACCTTCTAATGTCAAAACACGATATTTTCATCGTCTTCATCGAAAATGAAAATGAACGACGATTGGTCATTTTATGCATCGCATCTTTAGTATGCCCATTAAAATTGCTATCAATTCAGATGGACGAGTTATAGCCTAATCCACACATTAGAACAAGACAAGTTATCGCGTGACTTTTAGTTGATGGTGAGCGATAAGATTGCACAGCATGCATTTTCCTCCCGAGTGTTCGCCATATGCAAGAATAAAACTAAAAACAAGTCCCCTATAAAATGCGAGATGGGTTTGCTGTTTGCTTAATTTTGCATGTGTGTGGGAGGAGGTAAGGCTCAGATGCAAAATAACAATCGTTATTCTGATCTGCGCCTCCATCAACCAGTTTATAAAACAGAGCAACAAGTCAGATGTGGAGAACGAGTCTGAGCTGGAAATATCACTGTGTACATGACTTTTTCCAACCAGATTACGTTGTCTGCCTCTCTTAGCCTACAACACAAATGAAGTTTCTCAACAGGTGACTGTGGAAGAAATATAAATGAGCAGTGCTGAGAGGGAACAATCTACCTTCACTAGAGCATCTTATAGTCAGATTATTGTTGTCAAATAGGCCTACATGTTAATCAGCATATTTTAGAATATTAAGAAATCATATGGTGCTAAAATTAAACATTTTCAAAACTAAACTGATGGTGATGGACCTTTTGATTAAAAATGATTGGAGCATAACATGACAACTGACTTTGCTGTATACAATAAAGTTCTCTTTTCTTCTTCGATTGTTAATTTCTGCAGCTGGGATGTCCCGGAGCCCCTGCATATGTCCTTGCTCAGCAGACCTTGCTGACCTGAATACCAGACTTATGGGAGAACAGTCAGGGGGTCCCTGATTCTCAACCTGCAACACATGAATGCATACCCATTGTGTCAGAGCATGTCTTGGTTAGTTATTTTAATGAGTGACAAACATGTAAAAAGACACAATTCCTTTGCTCTCACAATATAAAGTGAGACATGAAAAGAGGGAATCATTAGAAATGCTAAGTTGAGTCACATTCTGACCAAGTGACATGTTAACATGAATACGAATACATACTAGGTGTTCTAAGATTATTTTAAACTTTCTGTTTACTGTATAATGTATTACTATTTCAATAAAAAAAAAAAAGGTGTTCTAAGATCCTGAAAACCAAATGAGGGAAAAAATAAATAAAAGAGAGATTGTCTCATGGACAGTTCTCAAACACATACTGTAACACACTCGGTCACTCGCACTTAGTTATGACATTATGTAAACAGTAGGCTATCTCTGTTCTGTTTTTAGCATTTGATTTTTTTTTTACCAATTTCATTTAATTCCTGTCCTGATATTTTATTGAAATATGTAGCCAGTTCAATGTGACTGAGAAGACGTGAGAATAAGATAATTATGATTTTTTGAAACAATGTCTATACCTTTTTCCAGCAGATAGTCAGCAGTGATGTAGGTGAATTCTGCCTGAGGGAGTTACATAATGCATTTTCAAGATACTGGCGCCATCTTGAGGTGACTAGAAACATACATTTTGTAGAGGTTGGTAGGCCTATGTTTAGTTTGAGTTTTGATCTTTTGTGCTGAAATTTATTGTTTATATTAAAAGTTAAATTTTGAAATATGGATTAACTCCCATGTTATTTTCAGGTAATTTTGATCAGGTGATGAGTTTCTTTACCTCGAAAATGCTAACATTATCACATTGGACTAAAACTTAGGCTATACTGCATGGGTTTACTCACCCAGCGTATCACTGCTTCTCCAATTTTCTTTTGTTGAGAATTTTTGTTCTTTTTTATGACCCCGTATTTTTTGTCACTTTGTTGTCTTATAGACCATTTCACAAGATGTAAACAACACTGGTCCAGAAGCACTTCCTGTTTCAGTTTTTTTAACACTACATAAAAGCTGGGATAAAATACAACCAACAGAACATTTAAAACTGAATCAAAAAGTTAAACAAACATCTTTAAGATGTTTTCTTTACATGTGAAATAAAGAAAACAGTTACAAACTGAAACAGGAATGTGTGGATACATGCACACTAGCACAACTGTGCACAGATGTACACTATTTTAAATAGACTATCAAAGGCTTTCTTTTTCACAGAGATTAACTTTATCCTCAGATCAATGAGGCCTATACAAATCAGTTAAAAAAACTATTTAAAAATCCTAATTGAAATAAAACAAGTTGATAAAATAAGCTATTTTTTAAGGCTAAAGTCATTTTTTGCCAGCAAACACCAAAACACCATAAGTATGACAGCCATTTGGTACAAAATAAAAGCATTTTAAAACAAACTTTCTGGTTAAACATTAAAGCACACTAGAGGGATAAACAGTGCAATTTTATCCATTGATGAATATACAAAAGTATCCACACATAAAACATTTTTTCACCCAAAACTGAGGAGCAAAAACTATGATCAATCAGTTCCAAAAATAAATACACAACCTAGTTGTCCTAACTGAAACAAAACAAGTTGACGGAAAGATTGAATCCAATATTTGGTGAAAATATTGCATAAAGAGCGATTTATAGCAATTTTTAAAAGGCTGGTCATTTTTGACTGATACAAAAGGTGGTATAGCCTATGCTAAAGGGTTTTCAACCCATGTCACACCTCTTACCTGACTTTAAATAATGTAGAAACAAACTGTTTTATCTTTAAAAAAATAATAATAATTTGATATTCATGTCAAATCATGACATAATATTGTCACTAATTTCTTTATTTACTAATTTAATTGAAGTTTCTAAACATTTATAAAACATTTTAAATTGTAATAGTTTACACAGAACAACCAGAAGGCTGTACCCAAAGTACATTTTACATTTACATTTAGCAGACGCTTTTATCCAAAGCCACTTACAAATGAGAACAATAGAAACAGTTAAACAAACAGTAGGACAACAATATGGAAGTGCTATGACCCCTTTCAGTTTAATCTAAACCAGTCCATATATTTTTTTTTTTTAGTTTTGTGGCAAAGTTAAACACATTAATTTATGTTCTTTTTACATAAACAATTTTTGTCTTCTGTTTTGTTCCAGTACAAACGGTAAAATTATGCATTTATACATTTTAGTAATTTTAAGGCTATATTACATAAATTATAAATTGTAATAGCATATTACAAATTATATAATACAAAATAATTACAAAATATTTGAAGAATATCGAGAAATGGTGGTTAAATACGTGCTACTACGTCTTTAAGGAATTCTGGAAGACTGTACCATTTTGAGAGAGGGGTGGCTGTGTAAACGCAATTTCAAATGAGGTGTTGTTCTGTCTTTACAGTTGTTAGACATTTAGAATAATGTTTTTTTTTACTTACTTTTGAGAAATATGAAATGCTGCACAGCCAGGCTATTATGTTATATTTATGAAACATAAATCTTGTATGTTTCACACACCTATTTGAACTGTACACAGATATTTGCCGCCATTTTTATAGAGGCACAGCATTACTCACTGGTCTTGCGCATTTACATTATACATAACGTTAGCTATCTGAAAACTGGTTGTTACAGTTTAACGATTTAACTCAATCCTTGAAATGACCACTAAAAAGAAACGCTCTGCGCAAACCGACAACGACAGCTGGGTTGTCATTGCTCCAGGTACATTTACAAAATTTACACTGTGTTCCATGCTAAGTTCACACTTGTACTTTGAGAAAAGTTGTATACAGTTTTCATTGCACATCTTTTTTTTTTTTTTTTTTTTTTTACTGTCTGTGACTTTATTATTGTATAAAAAAGTTAATTATTAATATCAACGTTGACAGGAGTGTAAGTTACCCTTATAGCCCACCTAAATCTACATGCAGTTCTGTTATGCAGTTTACAAATCCATATTTAATTGAGTTTTGTGGCATGTGCTGACCCCTCCTTTACTTTCAGATTCAGCACTGAACACAGACAGATCTGAAGACAGTGATCCATCCTTCATCAAACTCAAGAATCCTGCCACAGGTGGCTTTTAGTGTTACAGAAACTTAATCAACTGTAACTTACAGTTTAGTGGATATATAACTTTATTTAGTCATCCTGTCTATCAGCTAAATAAACTAAAACTGACTGACAGTTCTGTCATTGTGAGTGCAGGAAGTTCTTCGCTGTACCTATTTAGCCGTGGTGATGTCAGTGTTTATGAAGTTAAAGCCTTTTCTGAAGACTTTCGATCTTGGTTTATTGGACAGACCGTGCAAAGAGGTAAGCTCACCTTATAGAAAGTGAACTATCCATTCAACATACTTTGTCTAGTAAATTGCTGATGCTATTTAAGTGAACTAACAGCTCTTCTATTCCTGTGTCCTCAGATGGTAGACTGCTGTATGTGACTTCCATTGATCCTTTATTTCTGCTTTTGCCATACATTAGCAGTGTCGCCACCGAGGTAAACGATTAGTTGACATGCAATATGATAGTAAGGCCCTGTCCCAATACCCACACACTACGCCCTAAGATCTTCCTTGAAGTGGACACCTGTTGAAAGTGCACTTAGTGGAGCGATTTCGAAATGCTATTATGGAAATTGATACATGAAATTCTTCCCATCCCATAGATGAAAAAATATATGACGTGTTGGTGATAATATTATATATAGGCTATTTATTAAAATAGTTGTACATAGGCTATATGAAATAAAATGACATAACCCTGTCTCTTTTTGTTAAATTTCAGTTTTATTGATCAATAATAGCTATAATTAAAGTATAAGTAGCCTAAAAAGTATAAGAAGCTATAAAAGTCAAGAAATAAAGAAAGTTAAAAGATTCAGTCAAACATAAATCATCAGGCTAACATTACAACAATACAGTTAAATAGCCTTAATACTTAACTTTGCCCTCAGCCAAATCGATTTGCCAGGGAAAAAATAGATTAATGAGACCAAAGATCGTCCGTTAGATATACACAAGCCGATTTAAATAGCTGCTATCTTTATAAATAAAACACAGATTTGAGCTTTAAAGAACTCTATTCTCAACTGAAAAACTCTTAAAACTAAATTTGTGACACAATAACACTAATATTTTAAAATTTTGCGGCCTTGAAAAACACTTAACCACACAGGCTTCCTTTATCTTCCCGGTTTCCGCTCCCGAAATGCCACAAGTATACAAGGGATTCTGGGTAATATCCCATAGCAAAGTGAGGTCTGATGCGCACTTGCAAAAGGGGTGCATTAAATGCCCTTATGATCACCCCTGGAGTACACTATTAGAGGATCGGGACATCCTACAGTCTTGCACCCCTTAGCGAGAACGCACATTGAGGGGCACAAGGGCGCAAGTGCGGATATTGGAACTGGGCCAAGTCAGTCTGTTGTTCACATGAGCTTCACGTGTAATGCCAGCACTCTTTGCGTAGGGAAAGTTCCAACCGGTGAAGCAGATTGTGATGGATGAGGATTACCCTGAATGTACAAGACTTCTGCAATGCAAACAGGGACTAGATTCCCTTCATCATGTGGCGGATGAGAAAGGTGTGCGAGTCTGTTGGCATGTATAGTGCCAGATCATCTACAGATACAGTATGATGTCCAAATTGTGTGACACATATATACATTGAATCCTGTTTTTCAGAGGGTGGTGGTCAGAAGTTTCACAGATATAACCATGAGAAGACCTTGGAGTGGCTTAAGAAAAAGGTTTAAGCAATTTTTAATTGTTATGATATAAAACCCCATTACAGGCTACACAATGTAAAACTTTAGCATAGTGCCAGTTTTGAATTCACAAAGACTGCGATTTGGTTAAATATATATATATATATATATATTTTTGTAAGGTAAGCCAATACAGGACAATACATCAATATGTTTCTAAATATGCAAACTCTTCATCGCTATTTCAAAATTAAAGTTTAAACCCTCGCTTTGAGTTTGCATGTTTCGATGTCCACATTCTTTTTCAAGAAATTAGCATCTGCAGCATTTATAAGAGGATTATTTTGTTCTATAAGACCATATTTTCACTTGCTTTTGATACTTTATTTGAAACAAATATTATTGCTACATGTATTTTGAGTCATTTTAAAGGCTTAGGTCTATTTTTACTACCACAAAAATATCTGATTACTCAATTACTCGTCAAAATAATCGACTGATTACTCGATTACCAAAATAATCATTTCTGACAGCCCTAATTTCGATAATAAAAATTGTAATCCTAACCTTAACGCTATTTGAAAGGAATTTTGAAAAATTCTTTCAGGTTCAGCAGACAGTAAGCGCGCTCAAAAAGAGCAACATATCTGTGGGTGGAGGAGTGAAGTCCAGCACATTTGTCAGAGTCAAACAGGAAGATGCTACTGAAGGTAAAAAAGGATGAATAAATAGTGGTAAACAGGATTGGTTGTATGCATTGTGTTGCTAAAGTAATGGTATTTGTTATCCTTTTAGAGGACTACCTCCGTTACGCACATGGTCTCATATCAGAGTACATTACTGAAGACCTGAGCAAAGATCTCCTCAAGTATTTGCAGTATGTACACAAACATGTGTTTTCATGCACTCATCATTCACATAACCTTACAAACAACATTGCCAGACTGTCACTCACATTTTTACCTTGTTATCCATAGTCACATTTAGTCTCTCATGTTACAAGGTTGCCAGAGATATCCAGCCCTAAAGAGACCGAGCCACCTTCTAAGGTAGGTCATCTTACTGCTTGAAATCCCAAATATTTTCATGTCACCGCCATGCTTGAATTTTAATATTTAAATTATGTCTGTCTGGTCTCGCTTTACCTGATTTTATGCAATGTTAACCATATCTGCTTGTAATTGTGTTGTGATTTGTTTTCTGGATTCTATTTCTTCTCAAACTCAGCTTTTGTCATTGCTTCAAGAAGCATTCTAAATGCTTTATTTCTGAATGCAGTTAGTGGAGCGGGTGTAGCAGTTCACTTTGATTCAAAAAGATATTTTGGTGGCCTGGTTTTTCTGACTGCTGTCTTGCATTTGATAGAAACGGAAACTGTCAGATAAGCCAGTAGAGGCCGGAGAAGACTACACCAAGTTCAACAGTGCTGATTTTGCACGAAAAGTGAGTTAGAATAACAAACAATGTGGTGATTGGATTAATGATGCAAACATTGAAAGAAAATGAAGGATGCACTACTGCAAAACTATCTTTTTCTCTCTGTCTATGCCTGAAAACAATCATTCAGCAGGTCATGCTTTAAATATTATTGATTGTAAATGTATGTTTTCTGATTATGTTTAGCTACTGTGCTACAGTTTTGATAATTGTAATATTTTAAATATGGTCTATGTTATCTCAGCCACCAAAGAAGATGACTGCAGCTCAGAAGAGTCTTGCCAAAGTAGACAAAACTGGAATGAAGAGCTTGGCAACATTTTTCAGTCCCAAAGTCAAACAAGAGAAGAACTGAGTGTTAGTGTGAGTGTCAAAACATTTTTGTTAATAAAGTCATTAGAAAATAAAGTATGCTCCTTTTTTTCTTTTCACCATGTGCAGTGATATACAATATGATATATGATACTGATACACAATACAGTTCAAAAGTTTGTGGTCGGTAAGATTTATGTATTTGAAAGTCTCTTATCCTCTCTAAGACTGTTTATTTGATCAGAAAAAAAATAATAAAGTGAACCATAATATAGTGGGAAAAGTATTACAATGTAAAACAACTGTTTTACATTTTAATATATTTTTAAAATTCATGTAATGCAAATCAGAATTTTTAGCAGCCATTACTCCAGTCTTCAGTGTCACATGATCCTTATAATACACTGATTTGCTGCTAAAGATCTTTTTCATATTCTCGGTGTTGAAAACAGTTGTGCTGCTAAATATTTTTGTGGTTTTTCAGAATTTTTTAAAGAATAAAAAGTTCAAAATAACAGCAGTTATTTGAAATAGCTATTTGTTGTAATAATTTAACCTTTGTCACTTTTGATCAAATCTAATTCCATTCAAAATGTAGCATTAAATTATTTTTAAAAAATCTTACTAACCCCAGAAATTTAAACAGTAGTGTATTTACATTCTTCTTTGCCCCATAATGTTGGATAACTTCAGTTGTATGCTATTAACTTCCTTGAACTTTATTCTCTATTATTGATAAACACTCATTGCACCTGGTTTGGTGTTGGTATTTTGAGTTTAGTTTTTATAGTCTGAAAGGGTAATACCCGATTCCTGCTTCCTTTTTTCAAAAAAAGAAACCTGACCTATTTAGCTCTGGATTCAAACACAGGTGTTTAGTTCCTCTTTATAGGTTTTAATGCAAAAAAAAAAAGTCTCAATAGTAGAAATACATAAGTTAAACTAGTTCATGTAGTTAACATGATTTATCATTCTTTTCCAGGTAATTGATATACTTGCAGATAGTCACAAATCATCATAAACAATCATAAAAAATGAACGTACAAACCTACCGACGAAAAACACATACCAGTTTGAGGGATGTCATACAACAAAGACTACAGTAAAAAAAAAAAAAGTTTTAGTTTTAATGTTGTCTTAGTTGTCATGTTTGGTTTTTTTTGCATTTGGCTAATAAAGTCTATATCTATCGTCACCTCGTAACTAGGCAGTAAATAGCTGGTAAATGATTTGTTATGGATCATTCATATTGTCTGACTCTGAACACACTCCTGGTGGAGCTCCTGCCTTGGGCTCTGACTGGTTCATCAGATAGGTGATCTTCAGATCTGAGTAATTGTGATAAGGAAATTCCAGTTGCTCTGTCTGGAATCAGTGCGTAGGACGATTGTTCCACTTCAAGCTGGATGGTCACGCTCTGCTGATTGAGGCTACTGAAAAAGAGATTCTAATCTGCTGTGGATTATTTATGAAGCTTGGGCAGTGAGTAAGCACTGACATGTCACAGAGCTCATGTCCTCTTTCAGGCCCAACTTTTTGATCACACAACAGTGAGCTTTCAGTTGTCCTCTGGGCTCAAGCAGTGGAATAACAGTGTTGATTAGGCAGCTAGTCTTTCTTCTTGAGCTTGGGTTTGAAACGCAGAGTCTGAAAGGCACTCTCTACCACTTTTGGCAGGTGGATAGGGTTTCGTTGCAGACATCTCCTACTGCATGTGCTTCCCATGTGTCCCTTCCGCTGGGCTGCTTGCCCATGACTAATGTCTGAATTCTTGGGCTGTGATTCCGTCATGGAGATTCGGCGAGGGTCCCGAAGCACCCAGTTTGAGTGAAGGTCATGTTCACTGGTACTGGTTGCCACTAGAAAACATTAAAATTGGAGGAGGATCAGAATAAGACATGAAACAATAAAAAAACAAAACAAAAAAAAAAAACAGATGGCTGAACCATTAAGGGAAAAAAAACTTTAATTTTTGATGTTTCCTGAAGGTTCACAAAGTACAAAATAAAAGTAAAATATACTTTCTATTAAGATCTATAAAGTAAAACATCCCGCAACTCCATCTTCCATGCTGCCTTTAGAGTCCTTTAGAGTATTCTAGAATTTGAATGTAAAGTTCCATACACACCTATGAAGTCCACATCTGCATGCCCGTTGTCCACATGTGGTTTTCGATTGGGTTCTGGGTCACAGCTTGCAATGACTGCGTCAAAGAACTGGAGAGTGTCTTCCTCATTTGGGATTGGTGGAGCAGAAGGCTCAGGCCGTGAAGTCTTTGGAATACAAAAGATGTGTATATTAAGTTACATTGCTGGTTCAAACAGTATGTCCTTAGCATAGGTTTCTTCGGGGTTGTTGTTATTCTAAGAACTACTGATAAAGGATCAAACTAAAACTACTGAATCTCCTTAAAATTAGAAAGCTTGTTCACACAATCCCACTTTTCACACTGAATTATTAAAGATTTTCCTTACTAAATTAAACCTATAGCATTCACACACATTTTAGGGAACTGCAAAGCAGGAACAATATTCTCCTAAGCCCTACTGTATTAAAATAGGCCTATTCGGAATATTAAACCTTCTCATGGATATATTATGAATATCTTAAACTAAATATTGCACACTAAGATTGAACTTTAAAAAAAATGCATCTTCATATTTTAACGCAGGTGAAAAAATGAAGAACACGTTTATGGCCATTTAATAGGCTGTAGATTATTTTACAATTGACCTTATTTTGCCCTCTAATAACGTTCACTACTTCTTCCGTAAGTCTTAAACATACTCAACATACAGTATATTGCCATGTTGCATCTCACCTGTGCAGCTCTGTTTTGCGGTGGCCGAGGTGCGGGGTTCTTCTTGCGGGACGCGGTTTCTTTCCGCTCGCTGTTGTTGAGGTCATTGATGCTCTTGGTGTACTGACGCCTGAGCGCGACCAGTTCCTGTAAGTACTCTAAGCAGTTCTGGTTCTGGGAATAGAGCCATATTCGGTCTTCTCGACTCTGGTAGTAGTACAGGGCCGTGCTGGAATGGACACTCACGGCGCTCACGCTCCTCTTCAGTGTGGAGTCCTGCTGCGCGCGACTGCTCTCCCCGACCACGAGCATCGACGTGCTCCGAACCAGTTTCACGGTGCACGCGCTGTGGTAATCCTCATTGGACCTGAACCTATCCCGTGAGCGAGGCCCAAGATGGTTCGGACGGAAAACTGCGTTGAGTTTCTTAAACATCACAGTTGGTGTCGGGGTGCTCTCGTTTAGTGGTTAAATATCCGGGCTGGCGATTGAAATGATGCTGGTTCAAAGCACACGACGGTTCTATCATCATTGTGCCCCTGATAGTAGCGTAAAATTAGTAAAATAAACGATTTATTAGCTTGCTTGTTTAGTAATCGGGCTCTATTTAATCATTGTAGGCCTAATGATGACAGCCTGCTCTGTTTCTCCATATCCATCTTCACTGAGCACTATGCGCGAAAACTTATTGGCTACTTTATATCTTCTTCATGAAATACAGATTAAAGAGTTTGTTGGTTGATCTTGTCCATGGTGCTGAACTCCAGTTTTGAGCCAAACGCATAAAGGACACATTACAAGCGATGGTGATGACCATTTCTCAGCCGTGAAGAAGACATGGTTTCTAACACAGCCATGGCAACGGTGCGCAGTAGTAACACTACACTAACAAATTAATAATGAACCAACCTTGGACATATTGGGCTACACACATGTGCTGGCCATCACAGTTAGCTTTATGATGCGTTGGATAACATTACATGTATCTTATGCATAAATTATTTAATAACAATTAATGTATGTGGATTAATAAGATCTTAACTGGTCTCTTAACTGGTTGCCGGTGCGTCATAGAGTCGATTTTAAATTGTTGTTTGTTTTCAAATCCTTAAAGCTATGGTAGGCTATAGTATACGATGTTAAAAATCGGCCGAGAAAGCCTGGGACGGTAAAAACTCATCCCACTCCTCCACACACACACACACACACACACACACACACACACACACACACACACACACACACACACACACAAACACACACACACACACACACACACACACACACACACACCCCTCCCCTCTGTGCTACCTGATCCCTGATCTAACTCACTTTTGAGTTCACGTTAACGCAAGATTAGCAGCATATGAAATGTTCTAAACTCCCACCTATGCTAAGGTTTTCAGTAATTGTTATTGCAGCACACAACGCATCTTGTTCAAATTCCGATCGGCTTGAACAGAAACCCGCTGTTGAAAGGTGTAATGGCAAGTTTTAGAGGTTAATGAAAACAGCATCAAAGGTATAAGAAACTTTCCGAACAGGCAAACTGTAATAAAGAGAAAAGGTTTATTCTTGTGAGGAGGCCTCTTTTCAGAGCCGCAGCTACCCAGCTCGGAAAACCAGAAGACCTGTTTGATTTACCACAAACATGACATTTTATACAGTAAAACTCCTCCTTCCTAGTTTCTGTAACTTTCCACATCTGTTGTCTCAAAAGGTGACCATGCCCCTCCTTGCCACCCCAGGGCTGTATAATTAACATAAGAAACAGGGCCATTTGTTCTACCACTCTGTGTGTGTGTGTGTGTGTGAGAGAGAGAGAGAGAGAGAGAGAGAGAGAGAGAGAGAGAGAGAGAGAGAGAGAGAGAGAGAGAGAAACATATGATGGCTATTATTCATATTAGTTCATATTAAATTGTTCCACAACAAAGGACTTCAACAAATATTACTTTGACCTGTGATAGGCGATGCTAAACGGCTAACATTCCAATGCCAACCGGCAGCATGAGCAAGCTATGTATGTAACACATCACACCATAAAAGTATAAATTACCTGCTCAACAAAAAGTCAGCGTGTCAGCGTCGGTTTTCAGTCTCATATCTCCCTGCATCCTCCAACGGTCAATGGTGGACCCTATATTTATCCTATACTTAGAGTTCGTTGTTACAATTTTTTTTTAAATCTCTGCTCTTTCTTCTACAGACTTTCTCTTTCGTCCAAACTTTACAGCAGAAGCAAACAGGGGCCGCTTGCTGCTGACTTTTATATTTTTATCCATGGCTGTTCTGACTAAGCTAGCTACCAGACTGTCTGTCAGTTGCTTGCTCGCGGAAGGAGGGGGCGGGTTCGGGTGCGGTTGGGTTGGGTTGGAGACGCGAGCGCCAGGCGGAGTTTCAAGTGGAGCTGTGATTGGATGAGAGCAGTTGTCCAATGTAAGCTGTCCGGGTCAACTTCTCTGCGGCTGTACAGCCAATAGAGTGAATGGATATTTTTTCATTATTTTTTCTATTCATATTGTTAGGATTGTACTAGCCTATATAACCATAACCAGCATCTAAACGAGGATATTAATAATGAACAATCTTTGAATTTGTATACCATAGCTTTAAATGGTCTTGCACCCACTTACTTATCTGAACTTTTAACTTTGAACGTACCTGGTAGCCTATGTGTCTATGGTCCACACAAGCAGTTATAATCCCAGCCACATTCACGGTTTAAGTCGAGAGGGGATCGGTCCGGAATCGTCATCGTGCTTTTGCAGTTGTCGGTCCTAGGCGGCATAGCTTCTCTGTAAACTACTTGAGATCCATTTCCTCTTTAGTTTACATTTAAGCTGAAGTTTTATCTTTTTGACCGGGCATTTCAATAAATGTTTTTTTTTTTTTTGCTCTTCCTTTCATGTTTCCTGGACCTTTGCCTGTAAAGCACACAGTGGTCAACATCTGTTGTGTTTATTTATGCTATAAATAAATACATGAACTAATGAAATTAAATGTTTTCGCTTAATTTTTAGGGCATTGTGGGTGGAGTGTTGCCAATGTAAATCGCTTAAAAGATCCACTAAATTACAGTTTGATATTATTTTCTATTTACTTTTCTGCTATCTATAAATTGGAACATTTAAGACATTAAATTAAATTATATTCAATTGCACGGCAACATGGGTTTTTGGATTGCTTTAACTCATCAATATAAGTTAAGCAATTTACTTAAAAAAAACGTAACTAAAAAAAGATTAGTTATACAAGACTCAACTCAATTGTTTCAAGTCATTGTAATTTAAGTTGAAATGACTTAAGCATCCAAGTTGATTGTACTTAAAAACTTAAAGCAGCAACTTTACATGGTGTGTTCATATTCAGCTAATGAGTCAGACACTTGAGCTAGAGCCACTACGACAGGACGGCTAAAGTTTCTGGTGAGGTATTAGGTTGATTCTGGGAGCTGTGTGGTCACCGGAGACTGGGAGTTTATTATTATTTTTTCCCTAGGTTAAATATTATAAAGTCATAATTTTTAACCATTCATCACATGTTTAACCCTTTCTCTGACCCTTTTAATGAAATGGGTTGTTTAAAAAAATGTTAACACCTTAGCATACAGTTATACTGCACATTATTCTGGTCAAGAACCACCCACTGGAAACGACATGTAAAGCTACAGTACCAGTTTTTTTTTGCTTTTTACATGCTGTTTTTGGGTGGGTTGTTTGAAAGTACAATAGTAAACCAACATGAACTCATACAATGGCATGGCACTCTCAGGTCACTATACACCTTATAATGGCAGAAAATTTGACTGACTATCTAAAAGTAATACGTATTAATTCACAGACATTACTCTAAAAACAAGCAATATGTTTTTTGTTCCTTATATGTTAAGTGCATATACTATTGTGAGAAATGATCACATGAATAATGAATGTAGGTGATGCAGAATTTTGTCACCAACCCTTTCGGAGATTAACCACCGCTAGAGGTGAGTTCAATCTACATGTGACACAATTGGTTTCAATTACCCTGGAATTTGATTTGGTTTCAATGAGGAAATGAAGATTAACTGTTACACAAGAATCCTAATAGCTGCAGGTGCTAACATTGAGACGAAATAGACATTAGTTTTCATTTCTAATGAAACAGCAACATATAACAGCTGCATGAAGTGTGAGAGTTTAATAGAAAAAAATGACAGATTTCAACAATGTGCCAATAAACACCCACAACAGGACCATGGTCCATCTCTTATCAGTAGAGTTTTTTTATTATTATTATTATTCAACAAAAGAAAAAAATCTAACTGATATAGCTTTTATGTTTTATATATTTAAAGGTAATATACTCTCCATTAGGGAAATTACCCACAACCCCCTCTTCCTAAAATAGACAAATCTAGGGGGAACACAGAGAAGACAGTTGGTTGTGCTCCTCTGAGATCCTGTGGAAATACACTTAACATGGTCATGCATGGCTTATAGCACATTTCATAAATTCAAACAGAACTTTGACTGTGAAAAGCTTGTTTCATGACAAGAGTCATGTTAAATAAATGCATAATGTGGTTCCAAATTTACACAGCACTTTCACTTCCCCCCTTACTGGAGCATAAAACTGAAGAACACAGCAGAGCTTAAATACTGCAGAGACTCGGAGACAGAACCACACAGAACCTCAGCTCAATAGCCAGAGATTCTTTAGTAGGAAAGGTAAGCTTTAAGGAACTTTCTATCTAGGGTAATCTGGGTGATGTGAGGTGGACAATCATTTTACATGGTTGTTGGGGTCTCAAACTACTGGCCCATGACTTTGACTTTTCATATGGCCCCTCAAGTGTTAATAGTTTATCCTTAAATACATTTTAGTATAGTTTTACTGTTTTACTGTTCAAAACTTTTGGGATCTGTAAGATTTTTTTTTATTTGATCACATAAATACATTTTGAAATATTATTACAATTTAAAATGCAGTTTATTTCTGTGATGTCAAAACTGAATTTTCTGCATCGTTACTCCAGTCTTCAATGTCACATGATCCTTCAGTTTGAGACTCCTTTTCTAAACGGTTTAGTGTGAACTGATGTCCACTTTAACTTCTGTGTATGTGTACTGTAGATGCTGTGTGAAGGTAAGCTGTGGTGTTTGGCGTTCGAAGCTGAACCCGAGTGTGTAAATCCTCCTACATGTGACACAGTACCAGCACCATCATCGTCTCCGCTGACTTATCCCCTCTCAGCACAAACCCCTGTCCTCTCACCTCAAGAGACTCACGCTACAACACGAACAAAGACCCAGCAGAGCGAAGCTCACCTTCCGTCTACCGCCCCTGCGGCAGGACGGCAACCCGCCCTAAGTGTGGATATCCCCAGGCAGGCAGACACCACAGAAGCAGAGGCATTTTTAGTGCCTTCGAGCTGCCACAGCATCTTTCAGCATTACAACGATTTACACATTGCTGGTGGCCAGGTGTTGCCGCTCAGCCCCAGTGCAGGGGATGTACAGGGCAATCACATTCAGGACCCCCAGACTGGGCCCTTTCTTCTGTCTGGAGATGTCCCCTCACCCTCCCTTCTCCCTCCTCTTGTCCATGAGTTCAGGGGCTCGAGGCGCTGGAGGGAAGAGAGCGGACGTGAACGGCCCTCTCTTCTGCAGTTCGGCCGGCCCCTCTCTAACTCACAACTCAACGGCTACCTGGAACAGAAGCTTCTGGAGCTGTACAGGGAGTACCTGACCGAGGGACCCACGGCGACAAGGCCGGTCATGGCCTCTGAGCTACTGCAGACCAGCCTGGACCAAATGACCCTCCAGCTGAGCCGTGAACAGAACATGGAGACGGCACGGGCCAAAGACATGCTGCTCAGCTGCCTGCTGAAAGTCACCAGCAGTTATCAGTCCAGCGAGATCAGCACCCCTCTACTGCAGATCTCCACGGAGACAAAGTGAGATGGAAACGAGGCAGAAGTGGGAAAAGAAACGTTGTGGCAGTAAGACCAAGGAGATGGACTTTCACATATAGCGTGTAACAAGTTATAGCTTGAAACACATTAATCAGTCATTTCTGTAAATTGTAATGTAGTAAATCTGAAAAATGCAATCGTGCTTTTTAACTGGAATGCTGCCGATTATTCAAGGTGTCTACAGTTATCGAAAGTCTGGATGAATAAAATCTAAAAAAAAAGGCATGGACATTTTTCTGCTGAATATAAAATAATGTTAAGTGCTCTAATGTTTCATTATCAAGAAATGACTCTCTGCGAGTCAGCTTTACTTTAATATTATTTATATACTATGATAGTACTTTTTGTGTTTAGTTTAAGTTTCTGAAATATTGTTAATAAATATATATTTATATTTCTATATAGCTTTATATATATACATATATTTCAATTAGTAAAAACTATTTAAATAGTTTTAGATAACATAACTACACTGTCACAGCAATATTAATATAAAATCATTAAAAAAAATCACAAATGATAATCAAGGAATTTCAGTCAACTGGTGTTAAAAACTGTTATCGTTCTAATAGATATAATTAGAGGTCAAATCTGATTCAAATAACCTGAATGTGATGTATCGCATATGAATTTGTGTGCAAACACACACACACACACACACACACACACACATACACGGAAAAAACAACTTAAGCAATATGTATCACAAGCAGTTCTCTGTTTGAATATTGAGGCACTGGACCTTCAAACATTTGGTGTGAGGTGTTGGTGCACTAAGGTGTTGGTACATGTGATTTTGTTTAAGATAATTACAATCTATGAAAAATGATTGACTTTCCCTTTCTCAGGCAAAATGTGAAAAGGAATACTCCACCTAATACTTCACTGTATTGTGAAACTTGTTCGAAAAAACAAAAACATGAAATAAAAATATATTGAGAAACTTTGAATAGTCTTTTAATAGTGGCTGTTAAACATCGGGTGCATTCTAATAATTTAACTGCTAGGAGTCAATTTTTCCGCTTATACTATGGTTATCACACCTCAAAACATTGACAAAAACCTGACAAATGTCTTGAAATACATCTGAACAATGTCGTTGTAACAGCACTATTATTACACCATTTGTGAGAAATATCATGCAACTTTTAAGTTGTTAAACTATTTTACTGATAAAATTGCCAGAGCAGCGCTGACAACATTTCTGTGCGAGTGTGTGTCCGTACTGAATGTGAGTTTTGAGAGGAACAGAGAGCAGGATTATGTGCTTTTTTATAATAAATAATAATAAATGCATAATAAAATGAGATTATGTGGCAAAAAAAAAAAAAAAAAAAGAAAACATGGAAATCATTTGTAATTTTTTATCCTATTGTTTACAGTGTTTATTTGCTTGGTTAGTGTCATTGTAGTTTTTGGTTATTTTGCAGTTATAGGCTGAAAAGACCCCTGAAATAACTAAAATCATTTGGAAAAGTGATATACACATGTAATGCGACCTGCCCTGAACTACTTTGTGCGTCTCCTTAATTGCACACCTTAGAACGTTCATAAACCAATCAGATTCAAGCATTTAACGGCCCTGTACTATAATTATTTATATGACATACATCATAAACAGCACAGTCAATTAAAAGAAAAAAATGAAATAAAAATAAAATTAAGCATTACATAAAACTTCTAAGATCTAAAGTGAGTCTTTTTTTACTGAGAAATTTACCGGTAAGATGAGAAGAGGAGAAATATTACAGCCAACACCGAAAAATGGAAATAATCTTTCAGTAAATGTGTGTGTAAAAGAGTATATGTGTGTTTCAGTAAGAGGGTCAGAGAATGACAGTTTTCCACCCTCCCAGTCCAGATGAACTCTGATCCTCTGCAGTTTCTCTTTCACGAGGAGGAGAGTTGGTGATTGTGGTGGTACATGTGCTTTATATTCACCACAGAAATGCCCCACCAGCCAGACTCCACTCCTTGAGAATATTTTATTCCTCCTTTGAGCTGATTCATTCATCACTCCGAGGAACCAGCCCGTACTGTCTCCGACCTCAACATCCCAGCAGTGAGACCCTGAGTCAAAGCCCTCTGAGCCAAGAACACACGCAAACATGTCGAATCTCTCTGGATTATCAGGAAGTGTCTGTTCCTCATCGCTGTATGTCACACTGGTCAGATCATCAGACAGGATGAGATTACAGTGTGCAGTGTTGGGGTCAAAGGTCACAGGAGCTGAAGCAAGAGAAAGACACAGACACGAATCAAGACAAATGACTCTTATTATGAAGCTGAATTCATTGTGTCCTTCTGTACTCACTGTATTCAACACTTTTCTGCATCTTCTGTAACACAGTGAACTTCAGGTTACTCAGGTGTTTTGGCATATTGATCAGCACTCCAGAAATCTTCTCTGGATCCGGCAGTCTACACTGGGAAACTCTGGGAAACCGTTCAGGAGTCAGTGATGCTGTAGGTTTAAGCTCAGGACAATAGAGACAAAAAAGGAAAAAAAACAAAAAAAAAACAAACAATACAAACCTTTTCATAGTGGCCTCATAGTTCTGTAATAACAGAAATACAGAATAAATAAATTAACACTTTTTTTAAAAAAGGGCAAATTTGCCTTTTCGTAAAGTAAATAAACATGCTTAATACTTGTAGGAATAAAGCATCTTCAGCGTTCATCTCCTCCTCTATAGCTGTGATTGTGGCAGAAAGAGATGACAACTCTCTGCTCATCTCCTCAATTTTCTTCCTCATCATCTGACTCTTTTGCTCTTCTTCCTCTTTCAGTGCATTTTTCCTGGCCACCTCTTCATTACATAAACTTTGGCGAAGTTTCAAAAACTCGTCCTTGATCAATTTCTCTGTGTATTGAGCCTGAAACTGAAACCATTGACATTTTGGATGGATGAATGACTATATTCTAACATAAACATACATTTTACAAAGATGGGGTGCTTCACAACTTTATACCATAGTAAATACTTACCTTAATATGTTCTGCAGTTTGAAGTGAAGTCTTTTGAAACTCCTGAATTATTCTCAGCCTTGCCTGCAGTGGTTTTAATGCAGTTTTGAGTTTCTCCTGGAAGAAATCAACAGAACAGGTTAATATGAAACTGTCTGTTTTCAGCTCCTGTATATCTAAAAAATTAGACTTTGGGTCAAAGAACCTGATCAAAACAGATTTAGCAATTATTTTAGATCATAGGTTATTTGCCATCCCAGTCAACATGTAAAGATCATGCGATAATCACAGGGACAACACCATTCTCATACTTTTTCTCACAGTGTGATTAATATGCGAGCTCATTGTGAATTTAAGGGTATACTAATAATTATCCTAGTTCAGTTTGTTGAAAACACGAAACATCGAAAAAAAAACCACAACAAAAAAAACGCACGTAATTTAGAACATGTAATAATAAAGTTTTTATTTCTTCACGCAATAATTTACTACGACGTTTTGTAGGAATATTTCCAGAAAGTTTTCTTTCTTAGCATTTTTTATGGCGTTTGGGTTTTATATGGCGTCAGATAAAACAAAACAACCAAGAAAATTCAAAATAGTCTAATTTAAAGTAGATAATATTTTGTCCTAAAATACTAGTGATCATAGGTCGTAGTGTTTCCAGAGATCAGTTAATGAACGTTACCTTTGCTGCTGCAGCGCTGTCCGTGGAATGTAGTGGGATGGATGCAATGTTGTTGTCTTCATCATATGCTGCTGTGTCCATCAGTTCTCGTCGTCTCTTCACTTCCAGTGAAGGAGTTGACTCCGCACATCGTTTCTCTCTCATCTTCTTCCACGTATCCTTAATGAGCCATTTTATTCTCTCTGCGTCTTTGGACACGCGGTCGTACCTTAATAAGAGAGTTCTGCATATGCCGCAGACGGCCAGAGTCGTGTCCTGAAGTTTGCCAACTAATTCCTCCAACACAACCGTATATTCCGCTTTGTTTTCAGACTTGTGTCCGTGATAGAGTCGATGCTTATTACATTTGTTTGGATAGAAGTCCCTACCACAAACCAAGCAGCCATTTTCCACTTTCTTCGGTTTGGCCTGGTCAACGTTTCGCGGAGACTCTTGAGCCATTATTATTATCAGCGATTTCAGATTTACCCGCCCCTAAAAACGAACAGTAGTTTTAAAAGCGAACAGTGATTGGTCGCTTTACATGTCAGTCACATGATTTCTTCCGGTCTGAGCCATTTATCTCTGGCTCTGGGTCTAAGCATAGACGGGGTCTAAGTGGGCAGTTGATGGTCCTTTTTCTTCCAGAGCAAAAATCATATTGATATAAGAATGGAAAATGCCATCAAAATTAATTTAACATTTAGTTTTATTTTAACACAACAAATGAAAGAATGAATGCAAGGAGAAAGCTAATAGATAATAAAGGGATAGACCCAAAAATAATGTCATCGTTTAGCTTACCCTTACAAAAGATTAGCTTAGTAGAATTTTTTTTTTCTTTTTTTTTTTTTGGACACGGAAAAACAGCAATGATGCAGTAGCCTACAATGAGCCTAGTTTTACTGGAGTACAGATGCAGATTTACTGCAATTCAAATGCAATACAACTGCATTACAGCTGAAGTATTATTGCAATACAGCTGATAATACTGCAATATAACTGCAGTAGTAGTCTACTGCAATACATAATACCACTAAAGTAGCCTACCATTACATAATACCGAAGTCCAATATTAATAAAATTCTGTATAATACCAAACATCAACAGAATATACAGAATACATTTTATTTTCACACATCTGCAATATAATGACTTCATGTACAAAACAACAACTGCAATGCAACAATAATTTAATGAGATTTTACTTTTTTTTACTTCGATTAACTGGCTGAGAGGTGAGTGTTTATTACAACTCATTAAATCATGTGTATTTATTTTCCCACATTATTCAGAGAGGTTTCATTTTTTGAAGAGCTTATCCACGTTATTAATTTGGTTCTAGTTGTGTGTTTTCTGCAAATCTGCTTTGAAACTATATATTGTGAAAATCACTATACAAATTAGTGTAAATTGAATTGTATTACGTTAGTTTAGATGAATTTGGTGATCTATAGTAAAAGAAAAATGGGGTGTATAAAATTGTGGACTTTTTTGAATGACATTTTGGAATAAGAATAACACAATACAATAGCCTATCATACGAACAAGTGGGCTCTTTGCAAAACAAATGTCTTAAATTGACATCTAATCATTTAAAAAACCTTTTGGAACAAACTTAAAACAAAAAAGCAAATGTATAACTTTATTGTCTGGTAGCTTAGTTGATAATAGTGAGTGACTATGTAATACTGTACCTATTTGTTCTTGTGGCTTTGAAGAAAAAAAAAAAAAAAAAAAA